CCTGGGTTAATTTGGAACCACAATCCTGAAAATCGCAGCTTTTTGAGTAGCTAGAATTATGAGTGTAAGCCACTGGCACTCACCTATGAATCTGATTTTAGTAGGAGAGAAAAACTTTTCTCTTTTAAGAGCTTTGTTTAAACAAAATGACCATGTGATTCTCAAAATAAATTATAGATTGTATCTATATAGATTGCATCTATATGTTTTCCTTGACTGTAAACTCTTCACTAATAGTACTGACCTCTTAGACAGGGCAATTCTTTTTGTAATTTTACACACATTTTATTTATTTGTCATAATAATTTATAAAATGTTTTAGAGAGAATAAGAGATGATCTTGAATAAGATTAGGCCTTGATCCAGGGTCTTAGGATTCCTTGTCTTGTATCTAGGTGCCACATTAGGGGCAAAGTTGAAATGTCTAAGCGATCTAGAAAGATAGTCTAAATGAGAATAAATAGACAAGGCAAAGGGATCTTTCTGGCTTCCCTAGAAGCTGCTCCAGGACTCAGTTCCTCTCCTCTGAGACACCTGGGCACAGAGCAATGTATCTCCAGTGTTAGTAAAGCATGAGTGCCGTCATGTTGATGAATTAGTAACACTTGGCCAGAGTTGTTGGCAATGACAGTGAGTGGTAAGGCTTTTCCCCAACTTAAGAGAGCAGGCCCGCATGAAGTGGTTGGACATCTCATCATCTCCACTCAACCAACTTCTACCAGAATAGGAAATGTGGACAGCCCTGTGTTTTACACTTCCCAGTTTTCCAAGAGAAACTAGAATCTTCATCTTAAAGAAAATCTCCCAACATAATAGTAGTGTCTTAGTTTTGAAAACACAAAGGCCAAATAAAATATACCTTCAGGCCAGATGCCAACCTGTTCGTTCTCTCATCTCTGCTTTCTACTCTCTTGCATTACCATTTTTTTCCATGTTCCAAACACAGGTGCTACTTTCAGAAATAAAAACCTAAAATCCAAAATATCATAAGATAACTTGTCCATTTTGATCTTGACTTAAAAACTAACCCAAAGAAGACCTGCATCCGCCCGTTACAAGCTCCCATCATATTTCAATGGGGTGGACCTTCCTGCTCACTCTACCTGCTGTAGTCACAGCTGATACCTGAGAAGATGGCAGAAAAAAGAATGTAGTCATCGTTTAGAGGAGCTCAGTCTGTATATTTCTGAGGCAAACCCTTGGCAAAGACACCTTTGTTGTGAATCTAGTTATTTCATTGGGAAATAAATAACCATGAAAGGGGCACCATGTTCTTCTATACTGTGCCAAAAGCATTAGAGAATAGAATGTAAGTTCTGAGGTCAACCCTTAGAAAACAAGCACTTCCAGTCTGTTGAAACGAGTGCTCAGTGAATTGACAGACTAGCTCATTCTGAGCAATCAGGAAGAAATTACAATTACGACCAGATGCTAGGTAAAAACAAGAGTTGCTGACCCTTTGGGATTCCATTCTCCCAACTACATTTACTCTTTTGGTGGTACCCTTTTCATTTCAGAATGAGTGTTGGGAAGTGAAGGCTGCCTATATAACAGGCATTCTGCACAGCCTCCCCTGCAAAACAAATTTTATTAGCTTTGTTTATTCATTCAAAATGTCAGACATTGTTTAGGTACTAGGAAGTGAAAATAATGAGGACCTTACTTTATAAGATCCCGGTGGGTAAGGTTTATTGGTATTCTCAATAAACTAATTATTACAAAACATGTTTATTAATGCTAGTGTAGAGAAGGGAAGAGAATATTTGTCTTCTTCAACTATCAACCCCTACTCCTTCCCTGAATTTGCTGCTAATGAATTGTCTGATCATCTTCCTGTCCTGCATTTCCTGCCATATTGATTTTTCCTACCATATTGATTACTCCCCAAATCAAAATAATTTCCCATAGCCTCAAATTCAATGAAAGTATAAATGCTTGTTTTTCTCCTAATACTAATTGTCTTCCATCCTTCTTATCCATCTTTATTTCTGCCCCTTTATTTATTCTCTGATTTAATATACACTCACCCTGGGATCAGTGTGTTCCCAGAAAAAAAATAGATCCAAATGTAAAATATGTTACATACCACCAAGAAGAAAATATAAAGTGTTATATAATAATATTCTCTGCCTCCATTATGGTTGATTCATCCTACATTCATTTCACAAATATTATTGGACAACTATGATATTCTGGTCTTGTGGCTAGCTCCATTACTTTCTATCATGATGAATTTATCCCAGTGCTTGAGATAGAAGTTTTAGATCCCAGGCCCAAACTCTATTCACTTGTCCTTTTATGCTAAATAAAGAGATATGGTGAAGTAAAGAGAAAGGAGAGTTTTTGTGTGACAGCCATGGGAAGATAACACTTCAGCCCATCTTTAGCTATAATCCAGGTACAGACATAAGCTTCTAGATTTTATAGACAAAGAATTGGGAGCAGGAGGAAAGAAATATGCATAATCATTAAGCAGTCCAAGTCAAAGTATGGCTCAGTTGATTATAATTTAATTCTTGTTGTGGAAGGAGTTCCAGAGAACTTATCACTGTCATCTCTGGTCAGAATAAACATGTCATTGTCGCCTGATAGATGGTCTGAACTAAGGCTCAATTGTTTCTTAGGGCTGTTTTCAGTTCCATGTCATGAAGATACTATGGACCAATCCTCTCCTTCCCTTATTCTAAAGTAATTACAAAGACCCACAGAGAAAATGGGTGAGACCAGAGAGAAATGCAAAATGGAGGCAAGCTTCTCTCCTGTTTTTTGGTTAATTCATTTGCTCTGTAAGCAATCATTGCTTTTCAGAAAAAGCAGTTTTTAAGCGGCTTGTACATTCTTTCACTGGATTGCAGGTTCTTTGATATCCAGAACATGCTTCATCACCATAACCCAGAGTTGACCCTATAGGAATAACATGTTCAAGACTTGCATGATTTGTTTTCATGGAAAAAACCATGGTGTTATTTTGAAACCTCACCACAAAACTGTCCCAATGAAATTCAACAACTTAATATACTTGGAAATTTAGTATTGCATAGGAGTTAAGATCAAGGACTTTTGATATGAAGAGACACAGTTTGAGACCTTAGGCAAGTTAATCTTCCTTGCCATTTTTTCTAAAAGGAAGATGACTATGAAGGACGTTACTGAGATTCAGAGCAGTTTGGTGATTTACTCAAAATTACAAGCCGACTGAGAAATAGAGCCCAGGCCCAGCTACAGAAGACATTTTCTTCCTCTGTATACAGTTCTTGCTCTCAGGAAATACACTCAAAGAGCTGATCGCTACGAGGCTCAAGTAGCTATTCTTTCCTAGATTGATTAGAAATGAATCTTTCCAAATGGTTGTTTTAGGATCTTTGAGATTCGAGTAAACATTCAGCAGTACATAGCTGAGATTGATCCACTCCTGAACAGGATTGCCTACATCTTAGCAAGCTGGATAGAGTATGGGGAAACATTTCTGTCCCCGTGTACAGCACACAGTTTTGTTTAGAGCCACCAACCAAATTTGGAATTGAATCCTAGACATGGGTTTTCAAAAATGAGAAGCTGGTTTTCTGTAGCATTCAGAAATCTGTGTCCTTGGAGAGCTGTCCTGCCTTCCCTAGAGACAACTTTTCAGTCAATGGAGATTCTCTTGACAGTGCCGGGACACTTTAAGTTTTTTCTTAAAAGTCTGTACTCTACCATGGTTTCCCTTATTTGCAACAGCTAGTATATGTGTGAGACAAGCAGAAAAGGTCAGATAAGTTTATGTTAGGTGAAATGAACCCCAAGATAAGTATTCAAATGTTTTTCCTTTCATGTTATTGTTTCTAACATATTTATAAGATTATTTCTTTGTTGCTTTGTATGTCCCTCCCCCACAGTATAACCCCTGCTTTCTCTGTATTTGATGTTGGTATAATTTGTGGAGGGGAAGGGAAAAAACAAATCGTTTAAATAGAGATACAGGTGGACCCATTGCAACAATGAGATGTACAAGTCGTTATATCAAAAACGAACTTTACAACTTTGGCCGCGGGGGCGGGGGGGGTGGGGGGAAGGGAAGGGGAAGGAATCGGAAGGGGAAACAAAGGAGGAGGCAGCAATGCTTGATGAGAAATGTATTCATTATCTTGCCCATGTAATTGTAACTCCTCTGTACGGTATTTTCACAATAAAAAAAAGTCTGTACTCTGTCTTAATATTCTCATTCTTTTCCTCGGTCAATGATTCCCTATTAGTAAGACACAGTAAGTACTTCAAGGTTTGACCCTGTTCTGGGGTGACAGCATAGATTAGGAGGGGGAGATGATGTGATCCAGACACATTTGATGCTTTTAATGGTGAGACTCCCTTCCCATCCCCCACCCCATACCACCATTCAATTCAAGCTGCCCTGTTTTCCTCACTCTTCATTGTAGGGTTATATGCTACCTACTGCCACCAGTTTCGCCTCGATTGAACTCTTGATTGCTACTCTTGTCTCTAAACTTTCTGGGTTTAGAAATCTGAAGTTAAACAAAGCTACATTTCTGAAAGAACTGAGATACTCATGCTGAACTGGCATTTAATGTCTAGTCTTTCCAAAAAAACAAACATTTGTAGACTTATTTTCTAGCTTAAAGGTAGTTTGAACAGGACACTGGTGGCTCACGTCTGTAATATTAGCTACTCAGGAGAGTAAAGTCTAAAGATTATTGAGGGAGCAACAAAGTTTGACAAGAAATGTTCTCATTACCTTACTTATGTAACTGTAACCCTTCTGTACATCACCCTTACAATTAAATTAAATTTTAACAAAAAGCCTGAACAGAAAAGTTGGTGAGATTCTTATCTCTAATTAACCAGGAAAAAGCCAGAATGGAGGTATGGCTTGAGTGGTAGACAGCCTTGAGCAAAAGAGCTGAGCAGGAGCATAAGACCCTGAGTTCAAGTCCCAGTACTAGCAAAAAAAAAAAAAAAAAAGATCAGAGAAGCCATAAATTTGACCCATTTCTCTTGTTTTGTAGATAGAACACATGGTGCAGGGCCACGCTGCCTTTCCTGAACTACAAGCCAAGGCCTCGGCCAGGTACTGTTCACTTTGTTCCCCTACAGCTTTCTTGTGTGACAATCATTCCCTTTGGACTGTTACATGATTTTCACATCTCATGGACAAAGAAAATGCCTGACAGCATTTAAGATAATCATCCAGATGGTTCAGAGCATGTATGTATTGATTTTTAGAATGAATTAAAGAAACTCAGAAAACCTAGAGATTCCCCAAAGTATCTAAGAAATGGATGACAAACTTTTTTTTTTTTTACAAACTTTTGATATAGATGAGGGTGCCTGGATTCCAGAGTCCATCTCTTTATGCCTTCATACCTCACTATAAAGTAAAATAACAATATTAAACACTTTGTATGGTTATTTAGAAAATTAAATGAGTTCAAATCATTGCTGCCACTTAGAAATAATTGTTACGTTATAATAGGTGTTTAGCAAATACCAGTGGTAATGATAGAAATGATTATGGTTTAGGTACTTATATTAAACAGTCCAATTCCACCAAGAAGTTTCCTGCTTATATGGAAGGCACACCTGTGCAGAATGCAGTGCATGCTCACTATAGTATAGGAAGTGTGCTCTTAGAATGTGAAAAAAGAAGGCTAGTCCTGACATGTTGTCTAAGAAAAACATAAGTTTTTATTTCCAGGAATCTCTAATTATAATGCTGTGACCCTTATACTATATACCCTTTATCTACTTAGAGGCAGTATAGCCTAGAAAAGAGATCCTGAATTTCAAATCATCAGTGAGCCCTTTTTATTGTGCACCAAGCTTTTGTTCATCTCAACAAAACATGTTAAGTATAGATTTCTGTGAAGATACAAATTCTTGGAAAAGAATCCAGCATTCATAAGCCACAAGAAATGAGCACTAGGTTTGGAGTTTAGAGAACTGAATTCAAAATCTAACTCTATTGTTAGAAAGCATCAGAAGGTCGGCCTGAGCACCTCTAAATGATTCTCTGAGTTCAGTGATGGATTTGAGAATCCCTCACTTTGGAGACTGAGTATGACCATGCTGCTGAGAACTCATTCTATTGTCCTCTCCAGAATTAGTTATATTCATTTTTTTCACATAACTGCATACCCTCTTCCACTTGCTTTCCTGGATTTTTCCTCTTTAGAGATGTTTTTCCAAAGGCTTGAGTAATCTCTTGATCACTCTGTTTGCTTATTTTCTCTCCTTCTTTGCTCACTCTAATTCGAATTCATTCTAATTTGAAACATTTCACGTTATGGTCACCATTGACTTAGGCATTGCTACATCCACACAACATTCTTAGCCCTGTTCCTGGTTCCTGAGTTCTTAGCAGTACATGACACCAGTGATTGTGCTTTTCTTCTGTTCTTTTATTTTGGCTTTCTAGAATGTCACCCTCTTCCTGTTGCTTCTGTGTCTCCAACTCCTTCCTTTCAAGCTCATAGTCATTTTTGGCCATCAACATCAGTGTTCATCACAGCCATGTTTCTGTTTTTTTGTTGTTGTTTTTTCTGCTCTTTCTTCCAAGGTGATTCCCCACTATACCGTTGACTTCATTTCCTTCTGTATTTGGCTGACTTTCAAATGTTATCTCCAGCTCAGAGATATATTCCATGAATATTAGTTATCTTCCACCTTCTATTGTCTTACAAAGGAAAGGGCTTCTGTAATCATATCAGATTTATGAAGACATTTTAGGTTTTACAATAAAATAGGCGTAGCTGCTCTTGCTTGAAAGGGAGACTAAATCCCTGAGATATGGAGCCCTTTACCTCTTCTTCTGTGACTTGGGGCTTTCTGAAATCAGTGTAGATCAGCTCAACTGGGAGCTGAGCACCAGCAAATCGTGTCTGAAATTGTGGGGAAAAAGTGTTGATAAACACATTGGGTGTTTTATCTTCATGTTTAACCATAATCCTCTTATCTCTGAATAGATGTCTTGCAATAAATTGAGTAAACAATAACTAGTTGTATCCATACGTGCAAACTGGGAACCAAAGACTCTTTTCAGTGGTGCTAAGTAACCAGATCTGCTGGGCCCTGGTGGCTCACACCTGTAATCCTAGCTACTCAGGAGACTGAGATCTAAGGATCGAGGTTCAAAGCCAGCCCAGGCAGAAAAGTCCATAAGACTCTTATCTCCAATAAACTGCTCAGAAAACCTCAAGTGGCGCTGTGGCTCAAGTAGTAGAGTGCTAGCTTTGAGCTGAAGAGCTAAGAGACAGTGCCCAGGCCCAGAGTTCAAGCCCCATAACATCCCCCCCCCCCCACACACACACACCATATTATTTACTTCTTAGCCAGAGATCATACTGTTGCAACTTTAGCTCTTTTTATTATGTGCCTTGACCAACAATGTCTCAGATGGAAGTTCGGGTAATATCAGGGATTTTAGAAGACTTCTCTTCAATGATGTTGGGGGTCTTGTGATTTTGCCTAAGCTAGCTTCAGATTATAATCTTCTACTATACTTCCTCTGAAATTGGGATTACAGTGATGGACCACCACAAACAGACCATTCTAACCTTTTAGTCTGGGCTGATCTCAAACCATAATTCTTTTATTTTTGCCCCTAGTATAGCTGGAAATGGCATGATTTCCTGCAAATGACATTATCTTATTTTCTTTATGGCTGTGTACCCCCACATACACACATGCACATACACACACACACACACACATATATATCATATTTTCTTCATCCATTATGTGTGATGTGTGATATATATGTGATATATCTATATGCTATATCTATAGCTAATTAGCTAACTATATCACATCTTCTTCATCCACTCATCTGTTTTGGGGCATGTTGGCTGATTCTGCTATTCTGCTATTGTGAATAGTAAGGACTACAGTAAACATAGAAATGCAGGTGAACATTTTTCCTCATCTGATTTATTCCTCTAGCTTTTGGGCCTCCTCTTATTCCCATAATCCCACTGAAGAGTAATTGCTTAAAATTTATTGATTTTCTGGTATGACAATTTTCAGGCACAGTTTTTTTTCACTAATGAGGGTGATGGAGATCCCAGGACTACTCCTCTTTTCCTCTTTGAGGCTTCAGGATGGGAGGTGAGGATGCATTCAGTGCCAGGAGGACTTGGGTCTGGGAAAGGCCTCTAGAGTTGAGGAATGAGGATTGCTATCAGGAAGGTAAAAAGACAAGGAAAGGGGTTGTGGGAAAGTGGAAGCAGAAGAGGCAAACAGGTAAGGTGTGTGTGCAGATTATGAAAACAAAATGTAATCTAATGCTTTTTTTTTTTCTTGAGAAGTAAACCAGCAAAGATTTACAATAGAAAAAGATAAGCAGAGCTTCTGCTAGACAGGAAGGGTGCCAAGGGAGGACACCTAATACTTTATTTTTAATAAAAAGTAGTTTAATCGTTTAACATTATTAAAGTTGCCTTTTTATAAAACTACCTTTTCATTAAAGGTAGTTTAGTGTGGATAGATCATGGAAAGTACAGGGTGAAAGCTAGCCAACGAAGAAATTCTTGTGCCAGGAAGGAAGTTTGTGCTGTCGTAAGCCATTGCAGGGTGGAGGGGTTATATTTACTTATAGTGTAAAAGAATTTCCCAGAAAAAATGGAAGGGGCAAGATTTAAAGCAGATATATATCTATATATCTACAGATATATATCATAACACTGAAGAAAACATTGCTAATTAACAAGGATATTCAGAAGAAGGAATCAAGTCCTGCTGAAAGGTTTAATGGGGGAATGGATGAGTTACAAATCATCCCTACTCTGACATGACCCTCAGGTGATTCTGTGGGTAACTGCTGGAGTGATATTGATTTGATTAGAGCAAGAAAGAGAAGGAAGAGTGAATATATCATCAAAGATGATGTATGTCATATTAGACCTTTCTAATTGAGTTACCTTTGGACATCCAAGAAAAGGCATTTAGTAGGTGGTTGGATACTTGACCTGGCAGTCATGAGAGAAACAGGCTGGTAGTAAGGACATATATTTGGCAGTCCTCAGTACTAGGTGGTAACTGGAGCCATGAGGAAGAATGGGATCTGCCAAGAGAATATAAGGAGTAAGAAGGGGCCAAAGGCAGGACTCATAAAGAGCTCACAAATTACCAGGACAAGTGGACAAAGAGATACACATGCCTAGGAGGTAGAAAAATCAAGAGAGTATTTTTAAATAAAAGAGATCAGATAAAGAATGGGTCAAATGATGTAAAGTGCAGAAGATTATGCAATGGGTTATAGAGGATAAGTTTCAGTAAAACACATACTGCATTGGTACAATTATCCTTGTCCTACTGTGTGTTTTGACTTTTGGATTAAGAGTATGATCAGAATATTTCTAAGCAGCCTGGTAATCCAAAGAATGCATTGATTTCTAGAAAGGGAGAGTAGTCAAAGGATTCCCCAGAGGCACTGTCTGCATTTAAGATGGTAGGCAATATAATAGGTCTGGAAAATATTGTAAGTCTGTGACAGCAAAGGAGAAGGAATTATTTTTCAAGCACTTGCCATTTCATGTGCTTGGGGCTCAGCATTTAATCTTCCTGTCAGCCCATAAGGTAGAGAGTATTATCTCCTACTATAGGAGAGTGAACTGGACCCTGAGATGTTTAGTGTGCTTGCTCTCCAACTGGTTCACAGTACAGTCACTTTATGATTGTTGAAACTGTTTTCTTCACCATGTTCCAGTGAACATGGGCAGCAAGAACATCTCCCTCTGAGACAGTTACAGGAGATGGCCTTCATGAGAGGGAAAAGGATATCTAGTAGACAGCATTACTAGGATGTGATGCCCCAGTTGGAAGAAGGGCAGACTGATACTTGGGAAGGGATTGCTAAAACATAAAAAATGAAGCAAAATCAGAACTAAAAGACATGGTGCAAGGTTAAAATTATATGAATAATGATGTGCATTAGCTATTTTAATGTTTTCCAAGTGCATTTCATTTTGAATGATATACTCAGATAGTACACATGGTAAGGAATAATTGAAAAAACATGTAGGGCAATGGCTGCATTTAAAGAATAAACACACAGCTGCAAGGAGGTTAGGAGTCAAAGGGGCGGCATATGCCTCATCCCCCAGGGATCTCATTAGTGCATGAGTGGCCATATATGTAGAGGCTAAATGAAGCTCACTGTTTGCAAAGATCCACAGTAAATGAGACAATGACGAATCAATAGTAATTAGGCCTATGGATTGTTATTGACCTAGATGTCTGAAACCAAATGCCCTGTTCTGAGATTCCTTGAGAGGAAGATAAAAAGATTTATAGACATGTGCTGCTGCCTCCTCCTCCTCCTCCTCCTCCTCCTCCTCCTCCTCCTCCTCCTCCTCCTCCTCCTCCTCCTCTTCTTCTTCTTAGAAAAGCTCGCTTTATTCTAAGAGCAGAGATGCTATTCTGAAATGGAAAGTGGCCAGGGTTTGTGCAGATGCTTGGTTTCTGGCTACAAAGATGTTCTTGCAGCTTCTGCTAGGAATATGGTTCCATTGGACCAGAAGCAAGGAGATCTCCAGGATATGATCATATTCTACTCCCAATAATTGTTCTAGCTTCACCTTCTATGGTGGCTCCGAAGATCTTTTCCTAAAACCATAACAGAATGTTCTAAAGCACGGTTTGAGTGTGAAGCTTTGACAAATCATTTTTGATTTGTGACACATAACTTCAAAGTCACCCAGAGAAGTGTTTTGTTTGGTTCCTGTCCTGTCTGAGTTCACTGTGTAGAGGGTATTAGTGATGGCCCCCTGCCTTAGGCCAGTAGAAGTAGACTTAGTGCATGCTCAGGGATGGCACCTGCTGGCCCTGTAGATGTTGAGCCTGTTCCTACTCCTCCAATGTGATCAGAGGCAGAAGACTTTACAGATGACAACGAGACAGTGAAGCAGAAAGCAAAGAGATTGCTGGTGGGTAAGGCGGCCTCTGCCTCCACCCAATACACACTCACACACACTTACACATTTGCACACACTCACTGCGCAAGCCCAGCAGATTTGTTGTATTTTGTATCTTGAAGTGCTGAATAAAATCTTTATTTGATAAGCGTTCAGCCAACAAAGGGGAGGAAAGAGAATTTGGAAACCACTTTTCTGTTTGTTTTCTTAAATTTAGTTTAGAAAGGTTGGCCAGGTATCACAAATCTAAAACTAGAAATCGCTGAGTTTTTCTCCTAAAGCATTTGTCATAAATATTGTGTGAAGTATCTTCGGTATTAACTACCCTGAGCATTGATTTCCTATACCTTTTTCTAGCATTACTCTAGCCATGTGTTTAACTTTTAAACCTGAAGTTCCAAGGACACTGGGAGGGAACTGATAAGAGAAGCTGACCTCTGATGTATCCAATACACTCTATTTCTGGGTCCGTTGTTGAGAGCCTAGGAGGGCAGCATCTTTAGAGAAGGCAAGGCTAACCACTTTTAATCTTTGTACCCTATAGTAAGAATTCATGAATGGGAAAACCAGGATATTGAAAGGCTAAGTCACGATGCCTATTTAAGGCCTGGCTTTCATTTCACCTATTCTTAAAGAGAGAAAAACTCACCAGGTGCTGGTAGCTCACACCTGTGATCCTAGCTACTCAAGAGGCTGAGACCTGAGGATCGTGGTTTGAAGCCAGCCCAGGTAGGAAAGTACATGAGACTCTTTTCTCCAATTTACTGCTCAAAATGCCAGAACTGGAGCTGTGGCTCAAGAGGTAGACTGTTAGTCTTGAGCAAAGAAACTCAGGGAAAGTGCTCAGGCCCTAAGTTCAAGCCCCAAGAGACAGAGAAGCAGAGAAAGACAGAGATACAGAGAGAGACCTACACATGGCATTTCTTAGGTCAAGGTTGAAAAATTCATTCTCCAACTTCTGATCTTAACTGAATTCATGACACAGATTCATTTCCCTTAGCAACTTCCTCTACTGAATCCAGGAACATGCATTTGTCTCCATTTGTCATCTCATCATTGTTATTACAATTAGGAAGACTGATTTAATAAATCCTTTACATATGTACTGTATTGCACAGCTTGCAGAATACTATGTCTCACATATATAATCTTCTTTGATCTTTACAATAACCCCATGAGGTAAGCTGGACAGGAATTGTGATATCTGTTTTTACAGATGAGAAGAGGGTGGTTCTGAAGGTTTGAATAACTTTCTCATAGTTACATGCCTACAAGAAGTAAAACCACTCCTAGGTCTGGTCTTCAGACTCCAACTCATTTCACTTTTCACTAGGAATGGCATTCTTTCTTTGTAGTAGTGCAGTGTGACTTGAGAATGTACTAGATTAGTTTCTTTGAAGCTTTCGGGAGTCTGCTTGCTTTCCTGGGTCTGATATGGGAAGTACAAATGGTTTCTTTCTACAGAACAATTATTTTCCTGGCTCTACCCCCCCTTCTGAAAACAAAATCCACTTCTCTTCCAGATGCCAGAGTATATATGCATATTTGAACAGTCACCTGGATCTGATTAAGAAGGCTCAGCCTGTGGGTTTCCTCACTGTTGATTTACATGTTTGGCCAGATTTCCATGGAAACCGCTCTCCCTTAGCAGATCTGACACTAAAGGGCATGGTAAGTAACAGCCAGTCCTTGCACTGAAGTAAAGGCGGCCAAACTGCTACAAAGTTTCGAAGAAACAAAGTAAGGAGAATAAAAAAGAAAAACAAGACGAAGAAAAGCAAAATAGGACAGTAGTGAACTAGCGTCTTTAAGATGCATTGTTGTGAAGGCTTTGTGCTGATCCTAGGACAATCTGCTGAAAGTCCTTTTTATTCCTGAGCCAACCTTGAGCACTTTCTAAGTCGCATTTCCTACATTCAGCTACTGCTGGCTTCTTTGTCCCTTGGTGTGACCAAAAAGCCATGTCTGTGTAATTTTTACATTTCTAACTGTTTATAAAGTTATGTTTTCCATCCCCATTGCTAGGCCAGTTGGTACACCAGTGGTAAACCTTATCTACCACTCTTTGCCTGCCAGAGCAAAGACCTAGGCTCTGCGTGAGGGCTGCTCAGTGTCCATGGCAGTACATTTAGGATTTCAGATTAAACTTCGTTGAGAATAAATATAACTAGTAACTTCTATTGGAGGATGAAGTCAGCTCTTAGTGAACTCTTTAGGTTCACTTCCAGTCTAGGAATGCTGGGCCCTCCTATAGAGCTTGAATGAACTTGGTGGGTAAGCTTACAACCACAGAAGCAAAGATACATCTTAGAGCCACAAAGGATGAGTGGGCTGGGAGCAGGCTGGCCATTGAGAATAATGTTTGAGGATGGATAAGGGAAATTAAATCTGGAGAAGCAGAACTTCTCCAAGGGGACGAATAAGAAGCATGAAAGAAGTCAAGAAGGCTAGACGCTGAGCCTTCCCTAGAAGGAAAGTTTAAAATGGGAAGTTCAAATAGAGGCTTTGAAAAATTTAAATTACAGCACAGGGTGCATCTGGACAGTGGCTTAGTCCTGCTAGCTTTAAAAACATCAAGACTCAAAATAACTATAGGTCAGAGATAGTTAAATCAGATTTTTAAAAAGATAATAAAGAGGCTATTTATCACTGCAGAAAGACAATTTACTAATACCAAATGGATTAGGTGGATAATGAATCTTTCATATACTTGACATATGCTAATGTTTATATACTAATAGTCATGTCTAAATGAACTAATATGAGCTACCATTTTATCACACTTAGAAATATGTTGATTTGTAAAACAATTACAAGCCAAGCTATATTTGGTGGGGAAAGAAGAGTAACTAAACAGAATTGCGGCCATCGGAGATATTACAGTCTTTGGGTGGTAGATGTACTCAAACTCTAGGTGTGTCTTCACCGTTCGGCCTCTCTGGATAGATTGGAGATTGTGTAACACGGTTTCAGCAGTCGGGAAAGGCTTCAGACAACAAGTGACACTGATTCTGCATGAGGGTAGAAGGGGATCTGTGGCCAAGGGAATCACAGTGTTCTTGACAGGAGAGAGAACTTGATATGTGAATGAATGTCCCCGTCCTCCCATTTCATGAGTGTCCATCATTTGGCTCTGTATCCCCTTGTCTAATTCTTGATAGATTGCATGGCATTTTCTCTTGGAAACATGAAATGAAAGTGTTTTTCCAGCGAGCCTCTTGACTCTTGAACTCCACATGCCACAAGTATCAACCTTTCTACCTTCTCTACCCTCCCTCTTGTTCGCTCTCCTCTTACTTTTGCTAACTAATGAATACCTATTGTGTGCAGACCTATACTAAGCCCAGAGAATAGTAAGCAAAAAAAACCAACATCTGTTTCAGGTTACACCAAATCGGGAGATCATTGTTGTATATGTATGAGTATGTGTGCATGTGTTTACATCGTCATTATACCATGTGATCCTTGGAATATAGACATCTGTGCAAGCTGAAGGAGGTACTCACTCAATGTCTCACTGTGGAATTTTTTTTTACGTGGCATCTGTCTAGTGAACATCTGGCAGCCTGTATCTACTTCACTCAGAAATACCCATGAAGATGTAAAGCAGGCATAAACTCATGGTGACTTTGAAAAGTAGGTTGATTCTCAACTGGGAAAACTAAGCTCGAAATTCTCAAAGAGAATCTTTGAAGATGTTGCAGATTCAGAGAGATGAATGTAGGTTGTTTGATAAATGTAATATCAGACATATGAACAAAGTATCCCACAAGGCTGGAGAGTTTGGACTTTTTTTTTTTCTGTGCTGCCTAGCTGAAAACACACAGACTTTGTCAGTGTAGTAACAGAACACTTAGCCTTCCATACTGCTGCAGATGCTTGGTCTTTACTGTTTTGGTTTTGTTTTGGGAGCAACAGGGTGAGTTTAATCTCCTAAGCCAATAGGCTTGCAGCCTGGGTCAGGACACACAGGGAGGGCTGGTGTGCCAGCCTTCTAAGTAAAACTGCTGCTACTGGGGCAGAGATCAAAGTACTTTCTCTGAATTTAGAGGAAGAGTTGATCTAATGTGTGTCAGGAGGCAGTGATCTACCGCAGTCCTACAGGGCTGCACGAGTAAGTCTTGCTGCACTCTGCTGATTGGAATCTAGCTATAAATTTGAAGAGGCAAATCTAAATACACAGTGAGCAGCGAAAGTCTTGTGTGCTGAAAAATCCCACAGTGACTTTCCTGCATATGACAACAAAATAAAGGAGGAAGGAATGAAAGAAAGAAAAAGAGAAAGACCATTTTGAGTATCAACTGAAAGACCTCTTAAAATTGTTGACTATTAAATCCTAAAGAAAATAGTAGAGAATTCTATACAATAAGGATAGTAGAGAATTCTATACAATAAGGATAGGCATTTTTTTTTCTTTCTTGTTTTTTCTTTCTTACTCTATGGGTTTTTTTTGTTCTATTTTTTCTACTTTGCTTTGTTTTGTTCTTTAAAATAGGATCTGACCACGTAGACCAGGCTGCCCTGACTTTGAACTCATGATTGTCATCTTCTCTAAGTACTTGGATTATAGGCATGTAGCACCATGTCCAGCTGAGAGCTCAAGTGTTGAAACTGGACCGTTATTTAAAGTTTGACTTGAAAATGTGTTAGCATGTAGCATTTGTAGTTTATCTTTGTGAGATCTGTCTGTTCCCCAATAAAGTAGAAGTGCCTCCCCCTCCCTTTTGTAAGGTCATTGACAAATGGGACCACATACTAGCCCAATGACAGGCAAGTCACAGCAACAAATGAGTTTGAATCTATAACTCCTGCTTAGTGACCCTCTGTACAGCCATTGAACCTTGAGCAAACAGATATCAATCTTGACCTTCATCCCAGAAGAGACCATTCAGCAGCCACTGAGGTTTCCAGCCACAGAATTAACTAGAGAAGTTAACCAGTCTCTTGCTCCATCACAGGAAGTGTGTTATATACAGGTCTTGATTTTGATGTTCTCTGTACATAATCCTCTGGCCTCCAGTTTCCGTTCAAGTACAACAGGAAGCTCAAATCTGGCAGACCTTGCAAAACAGCCAGTGTGGTGACTCTTCACAGTGCCCTTTCTTCCTGACATATGTGACCAGCTTTACTCACAGATGGCTATGGCCTTTTTGTTGTAGTGGTAAGTAGTTCTTAGTTTGGAGGGATTTGTCTTAATTCTTGTTCTAAAACATGGTCAAAGAAATAAATTGCCTTGGAGATGTAAGAGGCAATGAAAACAACACACACACCTTAAACTCACCATTGACTAAATTATGTTTTCTCTGCTTTATTTTGGAAGTTCTGCACTAGCCAGAATATAAAATGATTAACCAGTGCTCTGAAGAGCTCTGGTGTGTGTAACATCAGGCTGACCACTGCTCACACTGCTAGAGAGGTTGAGTTCTGCTCCAAGTGTTCTTCTGAGTCAGGAAAGAAACATTTTAAGATCTTAGCTGGTTCCTAGGTGACCAAATGCCAGCTAGACAAATGCCATCTAGAAATGGCCTTGCTAAACAGATGCAACTACAGGTGGAGTCAGCAACTCAGCTACTATTTACAAGAGCTTGAGAGACGCCAGAGATTGTACTCCTGTTGCTGCTTCTGATAGGGAGCTAGAAGCTCAAAGGCTAAGTGAAACAACTTTTGAGTGATAAATTTACAAGCCTCAGTAACAAGTGAACTCTCTTTGACATGAGTTTGTCAATGTTTGGTTATTATTTAATGTTTTATTCAGCCATTTTACATATTATTTTTGCATATAAAAATCAAATTCCATGACAAAAATTATTTTCCTCTGTGTCAGTTAACTGCTCTTCTGCTATAGTGATTCATAGTCAGCTTTTAAAAGGGTCTGATGTATGAGGAGGAATTACAGTGTTTTACTTGTATCATGTCAACTTTCACAATAATCCTGTGAGATGATTGTCATCCTATATAAAAGAAGAAAGAAAGTGAGGCTGAAGCAGTATATGTAATTTGCCCACAGGAGAAAAGAGTGGAATTGGAATTATTACCCAATCTGATCAAACTTGGATCACTAGCATTATTCAAAGGGAGAAAAAAAAAAAAACCTAAGGAGCTAAACCTTTCTTTTCTCACTACTTTAGCTCTGTTTTCAATGCAACTGCCACATTTCTTTCTTTCTTTTAATCTTTTTTTTCCTTAAATTATATCCCAGAATCAGACTTTTCTTCTTCTTCTTCTTTTTTTTTTTTTTTTTGGTTGGTCATAAGGCTTGAACTCTGTGCCTGAGCACTGTCCCTCAGCTCTTCAGTTCAAGGCTATCACTCTACCACTTTAGCCACAATGCCACTGCCACTTCTGGTTTTCTGGTGGTTTATTGGCGATAAGAGTCTCACAGACTTTCTTGCCTGGGCTGGCTTTGAACCATAATCCTCAGATCTCAGCCTCCTGAGTAGTTAGGATTACAGGTGTGATTACAGGCACTCAGCTAGACTTTTCTTACTATATGCTACTTGCCTTTCTTTTATGCATCAAACAACAGGTAAGGCCAAGGGTAGACTGTGTCTGGGGAGGAGTCTTCAAGGTAGGGCAGAAGAGAAGACTGAGGGGGAATCTGAATCATTGGAAAGGTTCAAGAGATATACAGTGGGAAGAAACTAAGGCCAGGGAATCAAGGATAATCTGCAAGTTTCTGTGCACATTCAAGACAGGGTTAGACAAGAGGTAGAGGCCAGAAGTGTGCGCAGGCTGGCTGTGAGATAGTATTACATGCTCACATCAAAGCAAGGCAAATCCAGTGTCTGGTGCATTGGTAAATGGCAAATGCAGTGGAGAATTCTCAATAGAATAAGGTCATGAAGGAGAATTCCATGCCATCACCTACTTTTCCTATGTCTATTAATTGTCTATTTTTTCCTATTGATAAACTCCACAAATATAGCAGGTTGTGTTTATTATGACATACATAATTCTGTAGGTCAGGATTCTAAGTTGGATTTTTCTGATTTCTCTGCTCCAATTTTTACAAAGCCAAAACCAAAATGCTCATTAGAAGATTCTCAGGAAAATCTGCTTTCCAACTCACACAAGTTGTTGGCTGAATTCAGTGCCAGCACTTGTAAGGCTAAGGTCTCTTCTTTTACTTGCTAGCTATGAGCCAGGGCATCTAGAGTTGTTCTGAATTTTAGGCCCATCACCCTGTGCTTCAAACTGCAAAGCCAGCAATGTTGGATCAGGTCTTTCCTGTACTTGAACCTCTGTTCCCATTTCTGACTTCTTTTTCCTGCCTTCCTCTTTGTATTGCTTGACTAGTTCTCCTGCCTTCCTCTGCAGCTTTTACGGGCTCATGTGATTATATCCGATCCAACTGAGTAACTCAGGATCATCTTCCTTTTCTGTGGGGTAGGGGAGGTGGGCAATTGGCTAGTGACTAACTCTACTACTGTGTCCCATTGCATCTATGCCTGGATTCGTGTTTGAGAAACCCAGAACAAGAGTTCTTAGCATTCTGCCTTCCCACCCTGTGATGACATGCTCATCTGCATTTCCCATATCTAGGTGGGTTTTAGACAATCCCAGGTGTGGATTCCTGGCACCTACTGAATCCTCTAAATATTGTTGGGGAGATGTGCCCTTTCTCTTTCGGGATGCTGCTTACCTTAGACCTGTCCTTCAAATGCCTTCATCCTCCAAGATTTTCTCTAAATCGTCCTTTGATCTTACCTGTTGTCTCCATCTTTAATGACTTTACCAACAGAGCAGTATCATCACTCCATTGTGTATTGCAAAGTTTTCAACTAGTTTCCTTGGGCCGTAAATACTCCCCTCAAGTGCTGGAGGCCATGGCAAAGTCTCAGGACTGGTAGCCATGCTTTCTTAGTTTTTGTCATCTTTAGAGATTCCCCTTGAGAATCTATTCCTCAGATCTTTGAAAATTTTCTTCTTGCTAACATAAAATCACTTCAGTTCCTTTAACAATTAGAAAGGAAAAATTAGCCTAAATTCCTGCAGACTGAGTATCAGTTATCTGAAATGCATGGGATCAGAAGTGTTTGGAATTTAGGATTCTTTGGATTTGAGATTATTTGAATACGTGTGTGTGTGTGTGTATATATTCAGATTCACACAGAAAAAGAGATAGGCAGAGACAGGGACAAAGACAGAGAGACAGAGATATACCTTGGGTATAGCATGCAAGTCTCAACCTAAAACATACTTGTATTTCATGAATATATTATATACATTGACTGAAGGATATTTTTTTACTATATCTAAATAATTGTATACACTGAATAGTTTCCAGATATGGAACTTTCCTCTTGGGGCTGTATGACAGGGCTCAAAAAGCTTCATATTACAGAACATTATAGATTCCAGATTAACATGGCTATACTCACAATATATTTATTAATATTTACCATTTTAAGATATGAATTGGTAATTCCTAATACCAAAGTGTGAGGCAGATATTCCTGCAAGTTGTGCTTTACCTTCATACTAAAATGCAAATTTCTGTACCCACATTAAAGACTCAGTCTAGAACAGGGTCTCTGGAAGTCTGCCTTCAATTAGAATACCAGAAAAGTGTGATGGGGTGTGCCCAAGTTCAGATCCTTACAAAGAGGGAAGAAAGATTTAAACTGAAGTTTGCTTTGAAAGTTTCCATTGGTCTTTTTTTTTTTCATTATAGTTGTCTGCGTCTTTTTGTCTACCATGTGCAATTTCCACATATCTCTAAATATTAACTAAGCATTTTCTTTTGCCATTTTCTTTATTATGCAATAGCCCAAATAAATATAATGTGCTTACAATTGCAAGTCTCATATGGGGCTTCCCCATATATCTGACTGTCTAGGCCAAACATTCAAAATAGCCACATGCATATTTACAAATATGCTCCTTCCACTTCTGCTTCCTCCTATCAATGGAACCATTTAGTCTTCAGCTGGGCTATCAGATCATCTGTCCCAGTCTTCTCAGTCATTACAAAGCCCTGCCTCTCCCAGAGCATTGCCATCACCCCCAGGGTACTGCTGCCACCTTATTTCACAACAGATTCCTCCTGGGGCCTCTTCATCCTCCTGAGTGTTCTTCAAGGCAGACCCTCCTTAGACTTTCCCTCTTTGGGTGACTTTTGCTAAAATAAGGCCGAGGTTTCTGGTATTTATGAAATAATGAAATAGACTTGAAGTCATCTGCCACTTTATCTGTGTGCAATCTCAGGTGACATGTCAAGGAAATAGGACCTCAGACTTAGCCTGTTTTACTGCAGGGAGAAATATTTTTCACTAAATTGTATTTGACTACAATGGATCTACCATGATTATAAGGAATGTCAGTGATGGCTGTGAGGGGGTGTTCACTTCCTACTTCCTGTATCACACTGTGTGCAATAAATCCATTGTATAACTTCTTTCCCATAATGATTTTTGTCTCCTTAGATGATAGCTATGCTTTATTTTTCATGAAAGGAAAAGCTGTATCACTTCTTTTTTTTTTTTTTTTAATTTTATTTTATTTTATTTGAGAACATACTGTACAGAGGGGTTACAATTACATGGGCAGGATAATGCATACATTTCTTACCAAGCATTGCAGCCTCCTCCCTTGTTTACCCTTCACCTCCCTTCCCAGCCTCCCCCCTCCCCCCCACCCAATCATACCCCCCCCCACCGACATTGTAAAGCTGGTTTTGACATGACATTTTGTACTTCTCATTGTTGCAACAGGTCCACCTGAATCCTTAAACGACTTGTTTGTCCCCATCTCCTCCACATGTTATACTGACATCAAATATAGTGAAAGCGGGGGTTACACTGTGGGGGAGGGACATACAAAGCAACAAAGAAATAATCTTATAAATGCGTTAGAAACACGTGCATGAACGAAACAAAAACATTAAAATACATATTTGAGGGTTCGTTTTCCTAACATCACATTATCTGACTTTTTCCGCTTGACTCATACCTATACTAGATATTGCAAATAAGGGAAACCATGGGACCTATGTTTCTTTGGGCCTGGCTTACTTCACTTAATATAATTTTTTCCAAGCCTTTCCATTTCCTAACAAATGGGGCAATGTCATTCTTTCTGATGGAGGCATAGAATTCCATTGTGTATATATACCACATTTTCTTGATCCGTTCATCTACTGAGGGGCATCTGGGTTGGTTCCATATCTTAGCTATGGTAAATAATGCTGCAATAAACATAGTTGTGCTGGTAGCTTTAGTGTGGTCTTTTTTGTAAACATTAGGGTAAATGCCCAAAAGTGGGATTGCTGGGTCATAGGGGAGTTCTATGTGAAGTCTTTTGAGGAACCTCCATACTGCTTTCCAAAGTGGTTGAACAAGTTTCACTTCTCATGTGTCCTTTTTCACCATAGCTGCTAGCAACCTCAAGAGTTGAATTTAGTGCTCAATTATGATGATTAGTTCATTCTGAGATTTTAGGGAAAAATAATTTCCTTTCTCTGTGATTTCTGAGCCTTGGATGCAATGGAAGTTTAAGAGAAAGGCCCATGGTACCTGTGTGCTTCAATGCTCATGCTTTTTGGGAAATTTTATGGATATCTGTTGAGGATTTAAGTGATTAAATCTAACTGTTTGATACCTTTGAAGGTGGGACTGTGAACCAGTCTTGATGGAATTCAAATCCAACATTCTCTTCAGTCCTGGAATCTCTCAAAGACGGGCCTGCTTCATATGAGCATATGGTTCTGATTGACTTTAATGGGATTCTCTTGCAAACCACAGATTCTAAATCATTCCCCAGTAGGTATAAGATTTATAGAAGATGTAGTATTTACCCTGGATACCCCTTGGGTGCTGCTACATTGAATTGTGACAGAAGAAGAACTCAGAATAAAATCACCTTGTACTTAGATGCCAATGTACATATGTTGATGTCTTAAAACCCATCAAATACAATCATCCTATAATGTTCATTTGGTTTCATGTTGGTTTAATTCCAGTACAAAGCATTTTGAGTGGAAGGGGTTTTTTTTTTTTTTTAGATCTAGAGACTAAATTTAGTAGGCATTGCACGTTCAACTCACTAAAAGAGGATTTGCATATAAACTTGGTTCTGCAAGAAAACACATCTGAACGTGTTCATACTTCATGGGAACTATCTCCACTGATGGCAGGGCCTTTTGGTCATCCCCTTCTTTTCTTTCTCCCCACAGGTCACTGGATTAAAACTGTCTCAGGACCTTGACGATCTTGCCATCCTCTACCTGGCCACAGTTCAGGCCATCGCTGTAAGATAGTTTAATGCTATTTTTAAAGAAACTTAGGGCTATCATATTAGAAAAAAAATATTAACTTGGTCTGAGATTTTTCTCACAGAGGTCATTCTCTTGGTAAGAACCTTGTAGAAGAGAGGAAAAAAATGAAGTTAAATTTAACACAGGCAAGAAGAGGCTTGGGGAAGGGGGTTAGAACGAAGAATCATCTCTGTGTTCCCAAGTATCACACATTTGGACAATCAAGCTTCTATTTAACGGGCCATACGTGTATTTAAAGTGATGTTATTTATTCTGTCCATTGTCTTAATGATCTTTAACATACCACAAAGAAAAGACATGTTAGACAGATTTCTCAACAAGGCTTTATTATACAGTTAATTAAATTGAGAGGTCTTCCATCTGTTTTGAGAAAGTAGCTGAGTATGCTGATCATCTGGGCAAAAATGTGCATTTTAATGAAGCATTCTGAAAACAGATATTTTCCCATAATGTTAAACTTGGGACAAAAATAAAAAATCTTTGCTTCTTCTTCCTGAATACTGCCTTCACACGTATTTACTATTGACAGGTTAAAGTTAAATAATGCTTCCCTATAGAAATATTCATGGTAGGAACAGAATGAAAATAAAGTGAGACAAGTTAGCTGAGACTCCATGTAACAAACTCCTCTCCATCTCGGGCCTTCATTGAAAGACCTGTCAACCACCCAGTTCACCCTGGGCCTGTTCATCTGTGGTTCTCTTTTCAGAACAGACCCTTAAAAAGTACTATTTGCATTTGAAGTCTCTTGATTTGCATTTGGTCCTGTGCATTCCCAGTGGAATCACTTAATTTCAATTTCAATTTCTCAGTCTGTGAAAACATTTTTTCCAGAAAGGTGAGCACAAAATGATGTTTGCACAAAGCCCTTTGGTGGGGCATTTCAGGAGGGTGGAGCATTACCCAGTGGAGTCTGGGATACCAAAGGGGAATGTTGTCTAAGTACCAGGCACAGTGGGAAATTCCAGTTGACAATGCCACACAGGGGCTGTCACTATGCTCAAGGGAGAGCCTCTTGTTCTGGTCCTTCTCTCCTTTCCCAGGAAATGTGCTTTGCATTACTCTCATTCTAAGCCCACTAATCATGTGGGCCTAACTCCCTGGTATTAGAAAGAACAGAAATATCACTTCTGCCTAGTTTCCCATGAAAATTGAGAGGAATCTGCCCTTCCTCGGATACAGACTACATTGTCTTAGGTGAATTCTACAACTCTGAAGTGGGGCTGACAGTAGACAGATTTTTTAAAGTTTAAGATTGGAAAGGACACTGATGCGTGCTTCGTAGAGTCCCTAACCTGTGGCTAATCACCAGAAGAGCTCTCATTTGTAAGCACCTCTCATGCTGTAGTGGATGTATGGTCTGTACTCCTGTGTTTCATCACATTGCAGAATATACTTTTTATTTCTTTTTGTGTTACCACTTTTGACGATCCATATTTAACTGAAGATGATATTATTAGTCCCATTTGACAAATGAGAATTGAAGCTTTAGAAAGGTTAGGTGCAAGAAATAGGTGAATACCTGAATGTCAGCTTAATGTTCCTAAAAATCTAAAATCCTGACCTGAACTTTGGCAAATCTATACCCTCGAGTAGAGCAAAGTTTCTTAGCATCCACAAGCCTGGAGTGATTCACACAGAACCTAAGTGCATCTACGACCTCCTGAAATTCTCCATAGTACTGTGTGTGTGACCTTTTTTTTTTTCTTTTTTCCTGGGCAGGTAAATACATTTTATCATATCCTCCGAAGGGTTCATGACCCCCAAAAGAGCTTAAGAAAAAACATCTGGGGGTAATCAGCCATAGTCAGTAAGCAGGATCTGGCTTTCTACGGTACAACGTGTTTTAATTTTTTAAACATGCTACATCTGTAGATTATCTTCAGAGGCCTAAGTTTTACCTACTCCATATTTTTACCAGATTTGTGAATAACTTCAACAAATGCTTCAGACCTCTGGGTTGGAGCTGCTGAGCCTGTTGTTCCTAACTGTCCTGCTGCAGCATCATGTACTCCAAACTCCTCAGGATTTCATATCCTGTGGCTCCAGATCCCCTCTGACACCCTCTGACACCGTCCTCCCTCAGACACACCCATATGCCAGGGGAGAGGGAGATAGCTTTCAAAGTAGTCTGTGCTCACTTTTCCCCTTGCCTCTTAGGTTCTGAGACCAGGCCAAGGTCCTGTGGACTTCCGAAACCCTATGCTTTAGGCTGGGCCTCTTCCCTCTCAAGCTAAGCTATGTCTTTTCCAATTCTGTGAATGACAATCTTCCAACAACACTGTCATACTCTTAATGAAGCCTATCATATTTTCCTATGAATTCTTTCCACACAAATCTTACTACTTCTCAGTGGCTATACTATCTATGAAGACCCAGGGACCTTCCAGATACTTAGTCCTTTATTTCCCCTGACCATTTCCTCCCTCTCATTCAGCAATTCACTCCCATGGTCCTTCCTCGGACATTGCCAATAAATCATTAGTTTAGTGTTAGATTTTTGGAACTTCCATATAAATTACAAAGCTCAACTATTCAAATAACATAGCCAACAGTAAAGAATTCTCTGTTAAAATTCATCTCGCTGCCCCTAAGGTAGTGTCTTTTCCTCAATCCATAATGTATTTTACTGACTTGAATAAACTCAACAAGCCAGGGATGAGGATAATTCATTTTAAAAGGATACTAAGATAGAAGATCTGATATACAAGATCTGATTATAAAGCCCTGAACCATCCAGAATGTGTGCTTTTCTCCATTTGACCCCAGGTCATGGGAATAATGGATGCCGGTCCAGAAGCCTCAGTGTTATTGTATCACTGCCTGGTTTCAGGTTGTAATGAGTTTTAGCCCTTGGCTGTCATGAAGGCTTGTAGCATCCTTTGTGTGTGTGTCTGTGTGTCTGTGTGTGTGTTTGTGTGTGTGGTGTGTGGTGTGTTGTGCCAGTTCTGCAGATTGAAAGTGATCATGGGGCCCTCTTGCTCACAGCTGCTGCTCTACGACTTGAACCGTGCCTCTATTTTGAGCTTTAGCTGGTTTATTAGCATTAAGAATCAGGTAGCTTTGTCTGCTTGGGCTTGCTTCAAACACAGATTCTCAGATCTCAGTAGCTAGGATTACAGACATGAGCCACCAGGGCCTAGCTTGTAGTTTACCTTTCTTCCTTAGTGAAGTGTCCCCTTTCCATAGTTTTGGTGCTGTTTTGTGTTTGTTTGTGTATTTGTTTGTTTCTGTATCTTTTCTAAGGAAGACATCTTTAGTTCCCATTTAGTGACGGTAGACTGACTACAATGTTGCTTTCAGAGCAACATTGCAGTCACTCCATTCTCAGTCCCCAGCAATATCTGGGCCACTATAAACTCTCACCAAATAGTTGAACAAATGGTGTTAGTATTAACTAAATTTTTGTCAGTCTTGTATAACTATAGATTGAAGCACAGGGTGTAATAATTCAAAGGATTCTGAACTCACATAGACAACGTTGGAATTCTTACTCTGATTTAATGAACTCTGATCTTAGGCAACATACTCTCTCTGAGTGTCATTTCTGAGATGGTGCAGTCTCAAGTGTGGGGTAAACAACAGCACATTTTCTTTATTGCTATGGGACTAACACTTTTTTCTGTTTTTCTCTCTTAAGTTTGGAACCCGCTTCATCATAGAGGCTATGGAAGCAGCAGGTCACTCTCTCAGTACTCTTTTCTTGTGTGGAGGTCTGAGCAAGAATCCCCTTTTTGTTCAGATGCATGCAGACATTACTGGTAAGTTTGGAGAGCAAAAAAGAAGGTTGTTTTAGATTTGGCAGGAAATGGACATGGACAGTTCTGAGCAGGCTCAGAAAAGAGACTACCAGTGGTGTGCCAACCTATTAAGATAACGATGGAGTCTATATACTCTTGATGGAGGAAATAAAATCTAACTATATTGAACTATTGAATGAGACAAGAAAGGTCAGCCAGGGCTTGATATTAATTGAAGCATTTATTCAACGGTTTCAAATACTTCTGATCTAGGCATTGTGGAAACTGTTGAAGATACAGCGATGAATAAGATGTGATTCTTGCAAACTACAAACAAACATATTGAGTATAGTGTGACAAGAGCTCTGAGTGAGAAATAAGAAAACACAGGGCATTATGAAAACCTAGTGGGTGATGTGCCCACTTTTGGACCTGTGACCGCCACTTGTGGCTTGGGAGAAAATGATTAGGAAGCTGTCTGAACATGGAATACAGAGCCAGAAGAACCAGGATGCTGTGGAACTAGGTTCTAGCTACAGATGGGGCTTTGATCCCAAAGGGTCCAAGATCCTAGGATTCCTCCTCAGCATTCAGAATCAGGGATGGTGATATAGGCGGAGGGAATCCAGAGCAGTGGTTGAGCCCTTGGGACAGACAGCATCCTCAGGAGAACCCCTTGGAGAGAAGCTCCACTGACTAAGACTTCCTGGTGGTACAAAGACTGGCCTTGACTCCCAAGATCTCTGGACTGGATGCCTCACTCCTCTTTCTCTTCCTTTTTCAGTGTCTCTTGGGGGTTCCCTCCCAGGATAAATCCATTCTTGGGTTACCAAGTACTAGGAAATGATGCGGGGGGGGGGGGGGAGAGGAGCGGTGGCGCAGAGCTTAGGAAGATGGCTTAGTGGGTAGAGTGCTTGCCTTGCATGCATGAGTACCTGGATTTGATTCCTCAGCACCACATAAGCAGAAAAAGCCGGAAATGGTGCTATGGCTTAAGTGGTAGAGTGCTAGCCTTGAGCTGAAGAGCTGGGGGACAGTGCCCAGGCACTGGTGGTTCACGCCTATAATCCTAGCTACTCAGAAGGCTGAGATCTGAGGATCACAGTTCAAAGCCAGTCTAGACAGGAAAGTCCATGAGACTCTTATCACCAATAAACCACCAGAAAACCAGAAGTGGTGCTGTGGCTCAAGTGGTGGAGCACTAGCCTTGAACTAAAGAGCTGAAGGACAGCGCCCAAGCCCAGAGTTCAAGCCCCATGACAAAAATAAAAAGGACAGGGAAAAGAAGAGGGATTGGCCCCTGGCTCACAGGCTGACACCAGGCTGACACGTGTCCACCTTATCCTGTCCCCCATTCACCATGACCCCTTGCTGTCCCCAGGTTCCTCAGCTCCCTCTGTTTTACCATCCCACCTGCCTCTTGAGACCACGCAGACTCTAGCACATGAGAGCCCTGGTAACATTATGGGCACAGCTGATATCTCCACATTGTAAGAGATGAAACTCAGTAAGACACTTACCCCATCGCAGAGATAAGTAGACTAAAGCACAAGGCAGAAGGCCTTTTAGAATCCTCACCATCTGAAGGTAGATCGATCACGTATAAAAGTTACTAGCATTAACCAAAGGCCTGCAGTGTGTCAGTGTGAATCACTTTGTATATATTTAATCCTCACCACTGAAGTTAGAAAGGAGAACTTGGAGGCTAATTAACTTGAGTTTGCCAAGTCTGGGCTTAGTCTCCATTATACTCTCTAGCTGACCCAGGTTTCTAGATTTTTCACTTGTCACGATTTGTCACTTGATTCCTCCTTTTCCTGAGATGTTGGAAACCTGTGCCATTGGGCCACAGTGGGCATGGAATGTGAGGTGCAAAGTAGGAAGATATCAAAAGGAGCCAGATTAGCCTACATCTTACCCTACAGTAGGAAAACCATGACCACCACATTTTATGTAAAAGTCACCTGTGTGATATCTGCCAAAGGCCTTAAGTTGAATTTGTGACTTCCTAATTTCAGACCTTCTAATGAACAAAAAGACATTATGCAGGAAGAAAGATGGAAGTCAGCTTTGGGTGACAAGATGTCCAAAGGAATAGGACATCAGGGCAGCCAGGAGCAACACAGGAGGTGATCAGCACTTGGAATGAGTCATCCATCCTCCAGCCCTTGTCCCTCAGCCAACTCAGAAGCTGGGGTGTAGCTGAATTTTTAGAAACTGCTGCTCATCTAGGCTGTTGAATGAATAGGCTGTTAATGGTTGTTTGGATTCAGATTGAAACTGGACCCTTTGTCTGTAACTGTGGGCCAGTTACAGTTGCAGACAAAGGGACCTTTTCTTTGGCTTGGAATTCCTCAGCCTGTGACTGACAAGTGATGGCAAAGTGCATCTGCCTTTAAATGCTTTGGGTTCTGTTAAATTCATTAATGCATCAGATAAAATAGTTCACATTCCAGGCAAAGGCTTCCTCATCCTCCCTTCACCCAGCACTCAGAGAAAAGAACACATTTGCATTTGTCCTATAAAAGGCATGCCACAGCAGCCAATGGATAGGTGCCCTTAAACACTGTAACTGCCCTAGTTTTCCTCCAAGCAAGGTTTAGAGAGGACCATAGACATGGTACAATGTTCTCAGAAACACAGTAAACACATACACACATACCATGGAATTTGGAAGATTCTTTGGAGACAGTGTGGAATAGCAAGAAAGAACAGGAAGCCACCTCTGTGACTTAGGGGCAACTTACTTTACCATTCTGAGCCTCAGTTCCCTCTTGTGAAAGACAGAATTGTTATCACCTCCTATGTGCAGATTATGCTGAGGGAAATAATTCAGGAGCTGGCGTACTCCAGATCTGCTCTAGATGCTTCCTAGACGATGGATACATATTCACTTCTGCCCTCCAGTTTTTCCAGAATGAGAAGGGATGGTAAGGGGAAAAATGGCTTAATGTTTTATAAGCAAATCTTTGCATGTGAGGAGCCCGCTCTGTGTGAGCATGGAGCTTTGCCAGCTGAGAAATGTGGATGCAAGGAAGAACCTTCTTGTGCCCTGGCCCTTTGGTTAAGTGTGGTTTCAAAAAATTCTTGGGTGTATACTAAGTAATTGTAGGTTTCCCCAGTGACTTAGGACTAAATGTTCTTCTAAATGTTATTTATTTATTTTTAGTACTGGCAGATATAGTAGGGGTTTCCCTTTTCCTGTCTTACTCATCATTTTAATCATTAGTTCATTCATTTGTTCACTCCAAAGCACACTGAGCACTTCAGCCTATCCAGTCTGTGCTTGGTCCAAGGATGCAAAGAACAGTATGTCCTCTAAGAGGTTTGATATAAATCAGAAAAGGTTTCATGGCCTTCAAATCAGTGTGCAAGAGAGCAGAGTGGGGATCTGGAAGCCAGAGGAGACAGGGCCAGGCCAGGAACACATGTAGTCATATAAGGTCAGCTGGAGAGAAATTGAAGGATATATTTACAAAGATGGGATTGGTTGGGAGGGGAGGAAATCCAGGCTCTCTGTAGGATTTCTATCCTTAGGCTTACGATATTCACCCTGAGATAGGAGCTTAGTTGAGGATATAGCCAGAAGCCAAGGGGTAGTGTTCCATTCTGGCCATTTTCCCTGGGCTCGGAGCAATGTGAGGGAGAGATGGAGAGGAAGAAGTGCAATTGGTGTGAGAGTGGGACTGGTCAGATAGAATAGTGGACTGTTCCATTCTGGGTGACATAGGTTAGGAGACCTATCATAGATAAAGGAAACTTACAGAATCATAACAGCTAATAGTAATATAGAGCTTTCTGCAAGCCATGCAGTCTTCAAGTGTCTTTCTTTTCATAGCGCTTTTCTCATGGCAGCCCTATGAGATGTGTGGAATTGGAATCCTCTTGCAGATGAGAAAAGTGTGGCACAGAGAGGTTGAATAACCTGCCTGGCATCACATAGCTAAGTCACCAGGGAAGCCAAAAGTCAAGCTTCAGCTGTGTGGCTGCAGAGCACTTTGGGGCTGCAATCTGAGAGCTAAGAAGGCTTTTATCAGGCTCCCTCTGGCCTCTGATTCCCAAGGAGATCTTCCTTCTCTGCTCAGACCAGGAAAACACTAGGGGGGAAATAAACATCACCAGGGCATTTGGAGGTTTATCTTCTAAAAAGTCTCAGGTCCACAGGAGGCCTCAGTAGCCACAGTAATAAGCCCACGTGTACCATTCTTAGGATTCTGTCCAGACATGAAATGTCCTCCTGTCTGGGCCCCTTCCTCCTCCCCCCCCCCCCATTGTGGCCTGGTGTCTGTCCTTCTCCTCTTAATGGCTGCAGGGACCTTTCTCTATGCTCTCTCCATTGTTCTACTTTTCAAACCAGGTAAAGTGCATATAGAGGCCCCACTCACCACCAATACTATATTTCTAACAGCAGCAGCCAGGACATGCCCCTGGCTAGGAAATTCGCTAATCCCCACAATGCACCTGTATGCTGTCTTGTCCCCATTTGACACAGTGGGAACTAAGAGACTAATTTGAAGAACGTACTGAAGGAGTCAGAGCTGATGGAAGCAGGAAACATCTGGCCTAAGCTTCTACCACAGCCTCCAGCCAGCCAATAGCCAGCAGACACATCTTTAGTCCTGGCCCTGCAGCCCAGGGCCAGCATCCCTGAGTCCTTCGGATGTCTAGGGGAGTTCTGTCTCCTGTCCCTCTGTCGGGGCCCCTATGTCTACCAAAGAGGCAGGAGACAAATTAGGAGGTAAGGGGACACAGAGGAGCTTATATGCCTTATTTTTGGTAGCACTGTTGGGTCTCACCAGAACTTCATGAGATAGATGACATTTTTAACCCCGTGTTGCAGATAAGAAATGGAGGGCTAGACAACTTGTCTAGGATCATACATTGAAGTCAGTGAAGAAGCTGACGAGATTCCTGGGACACATAGGTAGAGGGCTTCGTCCTCCTGGCGAACCTCTGCTCACCTTCAAAGGCCTGTTTCAGACTCATATCCATGACGACAGACATTGTCCTCACCCCCTGGATATGTTCTCCCATCACTCAGTCACTTAACCACTTACCTTGAGCTGCTTCTCAGTCTACACGCCAGAGACATAGCAGTAGGCAAAACATAGCTCTGACCCTCATAGAGCATAAATTCTGGGCCTGGTAAATAGATGCCAAACAACATAACTAAATAAAACCCCAGGTGGAAGATGAGGAGAAAATAGGGAACGGGATGGTGGTTGTCATCGTAAATGTCATGACCAGAAAGGCTTATGTGTTTCCAGGGAAGGAAGGGATACAGTTCATGCCTGATGTCTGGAGTAGCAGAGGCCAGGACCACAGGGCTGGGAGGAGAAAGTGCATACTGTGAAAAAGTGAGTCAGACCCCAAAGGAGGACAGCTAAGTTGGGACTATGGCTTGTGGTGTGAGAGAGGTATAGGAAGCCCCTGGAAGTATGATGTCCACCTTGGGTTGTTACCTGCCTTCTCTTAGTATATCTCAGTTAGACAACCAACCTCCTTTTAGGCCTTGCTTCCTTTATACATCTCCCCTCTGAGTCAGGAACCTGAGAATACAGCCTTTCTGGGGCCTGCAAAGCCTCTGATAAACACTGATTGACCTGAGCTTGAACCACATGTCAGGCAGCAGCAGAATCCTGGAAACCTGTGCACCAAGGTCTCATGAGTTGATAGATATGGTGATGGCTTCCCCAGGGGGTTCTTGGCTACTCACAAGCAGGCACCAGCCAGGAACCAAGACATCCTAAGAAACAGAGCTGTAAGGGAGGGAAGTGGACTCTGCTGGCCTTGACATCAAGTGTTTTTGCTGGCTCTTCACATTGCTGCCAGCCTTGCTCCCTAACCAAGGTGTGGCCTTGTCCTGTGCAGGCATGCCTGTGGTCCTGTCACAAGAGGTGGAATCGGTCCTTGTGGGTGCTGCTATTCTGGGTGCTTGTGCCTCTGGGGATTTCACTTCTGTACAGGTAGGTGATGATCCAGGGGCGGGTTCTGGTCTCTCTTCTGTCTGAGGCTGTCTTTCCTCTTGACAGCAGCTCACATCATGCAAAACACACACAGGATATAATTAAGAAATGATAGGTTCCTGCCAGGGAAATCACAAATGCTTCTGGCCTCAGACATATTTATTGGAATTTTCATTTGACTTGGCCTCTTGTCAGGGTTTGGTTATTGTTTTTCAGGTGGTTTTCTTTGTTCTTCTCTAAAATAACTCTTAAATTGTTTCCTTTAACTTTCTTCTGGACCACTATTCTTTAAGCAAATGAAACAGGTAAAGCTCAAAGCTATAAAGTTTTATATATACTTCTGATTTTTTTTTAGTATCTTATTTTCAACCCCATTACTTTCTAAATACTTTTGAGGCCTGCATCAACAAGAAACAAAAGAAAATCTTGGTTTTAAAAAAAAAGGAATTCAAAAGAAAAACAAGGAAGAAAGATATAAGAAAATGAGATGGAAACAATTTGGTATCTGTGATTGATATATAATTTGGCTCTGAGTTTCCTGGCAGCCAAGAGAAAAAAAGTAAAAATAAAAAGGACACATGATAAATTACATAATCCTTATTTTCAAAAAGAGGAAACATACTAGTTTCTGGTAAAAATCTTTTCCCTACCATCTAATACAAAAGACATTCACACATTGGGTTTTAGGAACAGATTGTAAGTACTAAAATGATACAAAATAATAAAGAATGAATGTAGTGTAGAGTCTCATAGCACAGGCTCTAGAATTAGACCACTGGGGTTTAAAACCTAGTTTGCCAGTCTAACTAGTATGCCCTTCATGGACATTTCCTTATCCATAATAATAAATAGTAGCTTGCTGTGACTTGTGTCTACAGCTTGTATACACCCGGTTAGTCCTTGCCATAACTCTATTCTCCCAATTTTACAATTTAGGATATTAAGAAACTCAGTCTAGTCTGAAATACCAAAAACAAGAAGTGTGGTTCCCAACTGTTAGAGTCAAAAAGTGTGTATTCAGCTAAAAATCAGAGAGTTTCATGTCTTGCCCAAGAACCTGGTTAAGCACCAAGTTTTCCCTCAATAGCCAGTAAAGGCAGCTCCATTTATTGTGAGTCCCTTAGGAGCCAGGCACTATGCTTGACGCTTTTTGTATAACTTTCCTATACCAGCTAGAGGTCCATGGAGTAGACTATTAGAAACATGCCAGGTACCAGTGGCTTATGCCTATAATCCTAGCTAATCAGGAGGCTGAGATCTGAGGATTGTGGTTTGAAGCCAGACTCAGGCAGGAAAGTCTGTTAGACTCTTATCTCCAATAAACCACAAAAAAGCAACAACAACAACAACATGCTAAAAAAAAAAAAAAGCAACCAAGGAGCTATGGCTCAAGTGTCACAGCATAGCCTTGAGCAAAAGAAGCTAAGGGATAGCACACTCAGGCCCTAAGTTCAAATCCCAGGACTGGAAAAAAAGAAAAACATAGATGCAAATACCAACTTACAAGTTCTTTGTTCCACATTTTAGAAAAGGTGCTAAAGTATACATTGTCCTATTGATGACCATGACATACTTCTCCCGAGGAGCTGGATCTATTCATGAATACTTGTGCATTTAAATACAGATGGCATAATTGTATTGTCAACATTTTCCAGGTTTTCTAGTCTTCTAAAAAAATGTCCTGTAAGATAGTTATTAATTGTTGAAATGTCAATATTTTATTTCTACAACTATTTCTACAACTTGATGTCTTTTCCTTGCTAGGCCTAATTAAAATAGTTAAAAATAGGAGAAATTGCCTAATGCTACCTCATGTGATAAAAGTGTTTGTGTACCCTCAAAATTCCCATGTTGTAAATGAAATGAATATCTGGCAAGGTAATAGACGAAGTCACTAGAGCAGAGTCCCAGTTCGATGGGATTAGTGCCCTTGTGCAAAGAGATACCAAAAAGCTATTCTTTCTTCCTTAGACAAAAAATGGTCCCTTATCAGAGCCCATCAATTCTGGCACTGATTCTCCAGAACTGTCAGATTATACATTATGGTTGTTTGACCAATAGTCCCAACTACAGTTCAAACAAACCAACACATCTTAATCTTGACAGTCTCTGCCTGTGGTATTATCCTTGTGTTGTATGTGAGGAAACCAACCAAGGTTCAGAGACATTTTAAGTAATTTACTCAAGGCTACATGGTCAGTAAAAGCAAAAACCTCATTGAAATATTGCTGGGCTTATATTCTACACTGATTCTCATTCTTTTTCTGATTTATACTGCTTTTACTGTTTTGTATTCTGGGCTTCTTAAGTGTTCAGAGACATGCTTTCTTATTTGAAGTGGCATTGGCCACAATGAAGCCCAGAGAGTAACATCATAGGTTGGGCTGTGTCATCAAATGCTTTGTAACATGACTTATTGTACCTAGTTGACACCTTCATCAAAGTCATGAGTTCCAGCTCACTCACACTTTTCCTTAAGTGGAAACTAAGCTAAATTCCATGCTGATCTCTTTGGGCCTACTGCTACTCTTTGGAATAGAATTGAAGATAGGGAGAATCAGATATTGGAATTGGTGATTTGAGTAGTAGCTCTGAGACACCAACAGTTAGTTACAAATTCATGTCTCCTGCCCAATCCAAAGGTGTATATGTCTGTCCTGATATTTTTCAAGAAGGCACAGCAATCTAATTTTTGGAATTGGTGATTTGAGTAGTAGCTCTGAGGCACCAACAGTTACAAATTCATGTCTCCTGCCCAATCCAAGGGTGTATATGTCTGTCCTGGTAATTTTCAAGAAGACACTGCAATCTAATAAAAGGAGAAATACTTGTGGTTTCACTTGTCTTCGTTTACATATGCTAATCCCTGTATTATTGAACTCCATGCTTGCTTGTACATCCTTAGACAATGTTACCTGTCCTCCTCAGATGCTTATTTTGCCTGTGTCTTTACTATAAATATTTAAGAATTACCTATAGTAGCATGGTTAAGATGAAGGGACTTTGAAAGTGACAGACATCTCCCAGGTATAAACTATGTTATTTGGAACTGCCTTGGAAACATAAATGGAGAAAGCTTCCTTCACTCTTATTCAAAGAAGAGGAGCTAACTTGTGTGCCCCAGATCTAGAGATCAGCCCAGGTGATCAATCCCAACTGCTTCTTCCTGTGATTGATATTGTCAACCAAAACTTGCACAAATTCTTTTTTTTTAATTTTATTTTATTGTAAATATTTTATTTTTATTGTATGCTATACAGGGGGTTTACAGTTGCATGAGTAAGGTAATGAGTACATTTTTTTGTTGAACATTGTTGCCCTGCACAAGATCTTTTCTTTCAACTTCAACTTGATTTATAGAATGCCTGCCATTCTTTAAGAGAGCTCCGTGATTCCTGTTATCAACTCAACATGGACAGATGTTTTGTCTTCTGATGGACTAAACAAACATCTGGTTGTTGAATGGAACATTTCACTGTGTATCTAGTTGACCTGACTTCCAGCCAGAGTCATCTTCATATAAAGGAAAGGCTAGGAAGAGCCCAGAGGTCACTGGCTGCAGGCTTATGTTTCTGGGGAGACAGGGTTTCCCAATTTTCTGGGCCCATGAATGGAATGACATCAGCACTGGGCGATTCACTAAGGTAAAAGTCTAGCTGTTGACTAGTAGTAGGAGGGGTACCTCTTATTACTAGGGGTGTGGAATGGACAAAATCATGCTCCCTGTGACTTTTCCACCTGATCACCCTTCATCACCACACAATAAAATAATCCTAGTTCTGAAAATCCTGGAAAACATATAATTAAGATGAAGTTGAGGGCAAGTCAAAAACACTTCTGTAGGCTTCTAGGTCCTATGAAGTTAATAAATTGGGGGTAAAATGATTTTATGAAATGTCATCATGCTTAGAGAGGTTCTCATAAATTCAAGGACAAAGGAAATAAGAAGCTGGCTTTAAGGAAGTGTGAGAGAATATCCAGTCAAATAGGAAAGAGGCAGAAATATAATACGGCTTTCTACGTTATACTTCCTTCAGATCCCCTGCAGATGCCATTCGCTTTCTATAATTAAGGAGACAGGCTTCTTTTTTCAAGACCATTTATACAAAATGAACTTTAATTCTAACAGTGCTATTTATCTTGAAATGCCATCTTCCTCCCCACACCCACCAAAAGCAGCAGAGAGATCACCCAAAGCAAAAATCAGCACAAGGCCTTGACAAGAGACCAAATTGAACCCAGCATTCATTTGAAGGGGAGTACCAGTCTGAAGAAAACCAGCCCAATCAATCAAAAGCCTTTCCTCCTCCCTCCATGGGAGAGTTGCACCCCTGAAAACCACTGACTCCATGCACCACCAACAGCAACTTTCTCTATCAAGTTCCAGACAGATGCTGTGTCTCCAGACCAACACATGTAAGCGGCCAGTGGAGGGCTATGATTACTCACCCTTTCTGTCATGCATGCCCACAAGATAAACTACCCGTGCCGACCGCAGTGGTCAACCCTTAAGGTCAGTCCTTGCAAACATCCTCATTGCTTCCCTGGAGCCTCTCCATCCATGAAACATACTTCATTTAGATCTAGTTATATCCCTCGCTTCATAGGCACTTCAAAGCCTGTTTTCGGCACAGTATATCTCCTGTTTTGTTTAGTATTGTGAGAGTCGACTTGCTGAGATTTTTAGTGTTGTTTGGCCTTCTAGTGCCATAAATACCACATTTACAGTTTGCAAGTAAAACTAATTATCATGACTTCAACTCCTGGAGGCTTGGAAAGACTGACAAATCATGGCCATTCAGACATAAGAAACTATCCCATTTCTTGGCACATTCAGCTTTAATTCACTTGGATTTTTTTTCCTCTTCTAAAACACAAGTAATAACTCATATTCACTGGGAAAAAAGAAAGTTCACTAAAGATAAAAAAGCTATCTAAAACATTAATTACTCACAAATTGCTTATTTTAGTATCAGTTATTTAATATACTGGTTTCTATT